TAGTGACACAATTATCAACTAATAAATTTTTTTTAAAAAAAAATTTTCATTAATTTTCTTTATATATGACTCACTTAACAATTTTCTTTCTAATTTTTCATTTTTTAACTTCTTACCAAATAAAAAAAAGTAAACAACATGATAAAATTCTAACAAAATTATAAAATTTATCACATTTTCCATATAATACTTTCTCAATTACTTTATTAGTAAAATCAATCTCTAACCAAACATACTCTTAGAATATTTTGCTGTGGCAAGAAAATTTCGGAAATTAGTAACAAAAAGATAAAAAGAGTGGGGTAAATTGGTAAAATAGAAAGAGAGGGAAATGTAGATGACAAAGAGAAGGGGAGAAAAAAAACAAGAACAAAGGCAAGGGGTCCAATAAGTCGTTTTCAGAGCGATGATTCATTTCCCCTACGCTCCCTTCTCTTCCTACAAAAGTCATTTTGTTTTATTATAGAAAACAGAGGCCATTTTGTTCTCTTAGAGGCGTGGCGTGGCCTACCTGTCTTCCCTTCCCTGCACGCCTTGCTCCTCCTCTGACTGCGATGGTCGCTACTTCCCCTGCCCTGCCGTGTTTTCTTTATCCGAATAGTTTTACTACCTGTTAACTAATTATGAAGTGTGCCAACAATCTCGATGGTGTAGTAGTAATTTTTCTTTAAGTAAAATAAAAGATTTTTTTTTAAATTAAAAAATTAAATTAAATCTATTAAAAATAAATAAAAAATATCATTTTCTTAAAATTTTCTTCTAATCATTTAACAATTCGATGCAAAATCTTCCACCTACAAATATTTAAATATATCAGAAAAAACTCACTTAAAAACAATTTTGCTAAAAAAATCTACTAGTAAACAGCTCGTACCCCACATGCATTGCTTCACATGGCCCTGCAACAGCAGCAAAACAGAGCAGAGAGACACAGATTGTCTTGGAAAAATGCAATTACGCACATCGCAAGCAAATGAATATTATATAATATATGCTTGGAGATCATATATTATACACTGTATGTAAAAGACTGATGCATTACCAGTGGAAAGAAAAATTTTCTGTGTCCATTTCCAACTTGCATCAGCAAGATTCTATTGACAGCTATGATTTGCATCAATAAAAGAAACAGACATGGGGTTTTACAATAAAAATTAATTCTTCATTATTCTATTATTCAAAACCCTCCAAATAAAATATGTCAATTTCCTCAACAAACGCCATACCCCCTAAAGTCATCGCTTCTTGAAGAAAGAACCCATAGAAGATATGCTCGATCCATACCAGAATATTGACTTTTATGGAGAGAAATCGGATTTCCAGCCTCTCTTTTTCAAACTCTCCATTTGTTTTTTTGCTTTTTGGCTTTTTATTTGGCCGTCTTCAAACTTTCATTTGTTGGGATTCATTTTTTCACACCAGTTGCGCAGTTTCTTTGTATTTTTTAAACTTTAAAAAACTGTCTATGAAGGTTTGGCAATGGGGGATTTGGCAGAGAATTTTTGGGGTTTTAATAATCATTATTTTTTCTTGAAAAACTTTTAGAGCAAAAGGAAATTGTTTTACTAGTATTTAAAGGGATTATAATTAAATTTTAAAAGAAAATAAGTAATATTTTTAAAAATTACTTAAAAGCTAAATAGTGTTGTTTTCGGATGGTACTTTTTTAAATTTGTAAAAGAAAAAAAAATAATTACAAGTCCTCCTAAAGATTTGAGAACTTGAGAAATACTTAGAGTTTAGTTAAGATAGTATTTATTAATTTAAAATTTTTAATTTGATATCAAAACTAAATATTTAAAATTTTCTATTGTCAAACAATTAATCTTTTAATATATTGAAAAAAACTTGATTGTATTATATTGATTCATTTTAATAACAACTATCGCATTGGTTTAATATATGATTTTAATATATCAAATTATTAATTACTTAGTATTTTTTTTGAACTGTTACAATTTTAGAGGATGAAAGATTTGAAACCCAATCTTAAACTAACAGTATACCTACAATATAACTTATAATTATCGGGTCAAA